AACTCTTCCTGTGGGTTTCTGAGACTGTAAGGCTTTACAGGAGTAGAAAGCTTCATCTGTCTCCCAAGTCATAGCTCATGGGCTTGAACTGCTGACGTTGTGGTTAGCAGCCCAACACTCAACCCACTTCACCAGTATGGGGTCAGCATGAGTCAGAATTGACTCGATGGCAAGGAGAGAGAACCTCGGCAGCTGCACGGTGACTTGAACCCTGAGGAGAAGCTTGTGGAGATGACTCTGGATGGAAAGACTGTCTCCACGAGACAGGGACTGGAGAAGCTATTGTTTAGTTTAGTTTACCAACCAGAACTAAACCTCAAGGGAGGCAGGTCTGGGCCTAGCCCAGGTCAGAGCTAGGGTGGCCTTTGTCCCTGACTGTCGGCTCCTGACCCCCTGGCAACTGGTTTACTGGGTTGGGAAAGGCATGGGCAGCCTGGGCTACTTTGGGGAGAGAATCCGGCCCCAGGAGGCTGAGAGCAGGCAGAAGATCTGAGGGGGGCAGACATCCCAACTGGCTTACTGCTTCCTGGGATAGCTTGGCACGAGGGCAGGCCACCGGCTGGGCCCCACCCACTGCGGGCTAAGGCTTGTCTATCTCCAGGAGCCTCCAGTTACACTGCTATTTCCTGGGAGGGCTGCGCCCAGCGTAAGAGCCCTGGTGCTGGCTGGAGTCCTCCTTTGCTGTCATCAGCCAGCCAGGATCAAGGCCTCTGGGTTGGGACATACAGAGCCGCTTAGGTGTGTGTCTGGTGGGAAGAGGGATTAGACCAGGCTCGGGCTAGTTCTGGAGGGCACTGTGGGAGCTGGCAGCACTGGCTGCATTGATGGAGGAATGCTGGGGGTCCTGCTGAGAGGTTGGAAGAGGCTGGGCAGAGCTTGGAGTTGGAGTTTGGCTCACACCTCCTCACAGCTCCAGCTTCAGCGGCCAGAAGCTTGGTTTGCGTGGCCCTCCTGAGCTCTGCCCTCAGCTTCTCTTGCTTGTGAAATGGGGGTCCAGTTGACGCTGAGCACCTTCCTTGCCCTGTCCC